GTTTACCTGGTGAGTAATTGATCTTACATTTTTCTTTGACAGGCTTATGCAAGCAAAGATCTGGAGGAACAATTGCGGTCTGTGTCCAGTGTAGATGAACTCATGACTGTCCTCTACCCAGAATATTGGAAAATGTACAAGTGTCAGTTAAGGAAAGGAGGCTGGCAACATAATAAAGAACAGTCCAACCCCAACTCAAGGACGGAAGAGACGATAAAATTTGCTGCGGCACATTATAACGCAGAGATCTTGAAAAGTGAGTATGGGAAAGAAAATGTGTAATAAGCCTCCTATATCAAGCCGGTGAAAGTCACCAGACTGTTTCTTCAATTTCAGCATTTGTACCACCGAACATACTTTTAGGGCCAAAAGTAAAGAAAATAAAAAATAAAACATTACTTCAAAATACATTTTATGATTTCACTTTGTTAAGCTGATTTCAGGAAATACAAAGATAAGTCCAGCAAAACAAAAAAAAATTAATTTTTTAAACGAAAAGAAAACCCAATGGAAAAATTTAAAAAAAAGGAAAAAATTTAAAAAACGGAAGAAGTTAAACAATTAAAAAATCCGGAATCTTACAAAACAACTATACATAAATTTACTTTCTGATTTAGACTTAGAAGTGCTCCATTTCTCTCAACATACCCAAATCACCTTTTCAAGTAGCATTTGTTACCTTGCAGCTTCATAGATGACTAGATCAGAGCTTGTCTTTTGTAAAGCTGATGTCTAGTCTTCACAAAAAATTATGATGTTGCATAAAATGTCATAGTATAAATTGATGAGATAATTTTAAAAAGTAACTCCCTTCAGTTGGTAGCTATAAAGGTTTGATACTGCAAAGTAGTATTTGAGAACAAAAGCAAACAAAAAATGGCCTAATGGTTGAATAACCAATAGTTTTTATCTTTCTTCTCCAAAAATTTTATTTTTAGGGGAAATATAGGAAAAATTAACTAGAACGCTTAGGAAATTCATCATTTGTAATGCAGTATTTAAAGAGTCAACAATGTTATAGGTAAGCCACTAATTGGAAACAGAATTCCAAGAGAGAGCTGAAAGGGATAGGGAAATTTGACTTCCTGAAGAAAGTTGGTTCAGGATAGAAGTCCCAGTTGGCAGAATAGTCTTGTCTTTCACTTAACTACTGCCATGACATTACCCAAAGTTCCAAATAGCCTGCCTAAAAATGATTTTTGACTTGTGTCTGAAACCATAGCCATCTTCTCATATACATCCCAGTTTAAAAAGAGAAATAAAATCATGTTTACATGTGCTTTGAGAATACAAAAATAGTACATACATAGCTAATGAGCATGACTCTATCTCTGCACATCTTGTAAACATCCATATATTAAATTCCCATTTTCTTGAGTACGGAAAACCAAACATAAGTGCTGTGGGGTATTGGTGTAATTTTAAGAAAGCATGATCCTAATTTCACTTGTTACATGGCTGTCGAAATGAAGTTTTTTGGAAAACATCCTTAGCTGCTCTGTTAAATATTATATCATATTCCCATTCACAGGGCAATTTAGGATTCTGTCCGCTGTTTCCTTAGTTATGTGTTTTGCTTAAACCTTAAAATCTGAAATCAAATGTGAGTGACTTGCAGCTGCTGTGGGCTTCTTTTCCCCTTGGTGGTTTCTGTATAACTTACGGACTTCCTATGACTCGACAGGTATTGATAATGAGTGGAGAAAGACTCAATGCATGCCACGGGAGGTGTGTATAGATGTGGGGAAGGAGTTTGGAGCAGCAACAAACACCTTCTTTAAACCTCCATGTGTGTCCGTCTACAGATGTGGGGGCTGCTGCAACAGCGAGGGGCTACAGTGCATGAACACCAGCACAAGCTACCTCAGCAAGACGGTAGGTATTTCAGATTCCAGCTACACCCGAGGGCCCTCCCCATCAGAACCTTTAGCTGGGAATGATGTGTTCAAAATTCTGGGTGCCTCAAAGTAACTTAAGTCAGAGTTTCTTATATTTTCTTGGGGGAATGCAGTGTTTCAATATTTTTGTTTCTTTGGTGACACAGTATCACAAAGAAAATAACTGATGCTTTGTGAACTCTGTGCATACAGTGGAAAATCAAAGCCTAGGGAAGAAAATAATAAATATACATACATATGTGTACATGTATACATGTGTGTGTTTTGATCTTTAGGAATCTGCATTTTCATTTAGCAATAAAATACTTTTTAATGGTTAAGTTTTCCAATGATAGAGATATTTCAAAAATTACATATTCAAAATATATTATATAATTACATATACGGCTTCTGTGAAACAGCTGCGTAGTATTGAAATAAGCCATCACTTTGAACAAAATTAGACACTAAATTTTGAATAACCTGTAAAGTTCATCACATTAGATCTTAAGCTTCTAATAAATAACCAAACAACTTCTCTGAAAGTCTGGTTTGGATCAGAGATTTTCAGAGCAGACCTGCTTTGTGGGTCTGACATGGAAGAAGAGGCCAGCTTAGGACTTGCTTATGTGCTGTTGATAACCATGGGAGTGTTGTTTGAAATTGTGTGTGCCCCTGACCTCTGCCCAGAAATGTTTAGAGAAGTCCAGTGCTATGGGCTGGGCTGATGCAAACTTCACCCTGAAAGAAAAAGACTGTGGTTGCCCTAAAGGTTTTTCCAAGCAATTTTGAGTGTTGGACTAGCATAGGTAATCTGGCTACATTCAGAACTGTCCTTTGACTTTGAGAATGAAAAACGAAATCATTTGAAAAATGTCATGTTAGCTTTGATTAGTACAGTGTGATATGACAGCAAATTAACATTTTAATTTTATACAAACTTTAGCTGGTCTACATGGTTCCCACTAATAAAATGTACTCTTATTTTAATGTAATATGAATGGAAATGAAAGGTTACTGCCTTAATTCCCTGAACTACATTTTCCCATCTAGTTGAAAACTTCTAAAATTTGTACTGTAATGATCATTTGGCCTCTGAATTTGGAGACATTGTCCTATTATACAATCCAAATTAATTGCCTTTTTTAAAAACTTGTATTTCTTTATCTTGTTTACACACTTGATGAAGGAACAAGCCGTTTCAGATACTAAGATTTGTAAGAGGAAACAAAATAAGTTATAAAGCTGAATTTTCTGTTCAGCTTGCTTCTGCCTCAACTCTAAAGAGTGAAAAAAAATTAAAAGGGGATGCTTTGGGGCCTTATGTTATTCCTATTAGTATCATATTTAGTTAAGCCCAGCCATAAGTAGTTTATCTTCTGATTGTTTCCTAAAAGTACAGCAAAATAATGAAGGGTTCATTATAAACATGTTAGCAAGGGAAGCAGGCATATATTCAGGCATTTGGAAACTTTATCAGTACCATGTATGGTTGTGGGAATGTGATAACATTTCAGTGCATGACAAAATTCTAGTATTTTAATGGACTGACATGTCATTGTTGTGCTAGGGCATGCCAAAACTTATCCTTAGTTCATTTTTCCCCCGTGAATCTGTACTGAACAACTAAGAAGTTATAATTTTATATAGTATTCTGAATAAAATAATACTAATTTAGGAGATTTTGCTGGGTATTTTGTATTTATCTTATTGTAACCCTGAAGTAAAACAGAATTCTTTAAAAGCCTCTCATGAGTGTTAGAACTGAAAACTTTTTAAAAACAAATAGAAATATTTATGCCAGTCAGATATTTTCCAAAAGGTAACATTCATTTAAAAAAGATACTAGTATTAAAAAATATTGCTTTTATATTCAAGCCAAACCCCTCGAAAAGAATTTTTGCCTGCTGAGTCCCTTGAAAAAATATCTTTTTTTTTTTAAGTTAGAGAAAATAAATGTGGGTGATTTAGAAATTAAAATATACTGTTTTTGGAATCTTTAACAGTGTCTACTTTAAAATAATCCAATTAAGGAATATAATGTGTTCTAGATTATATTGTTTATTATTATGGTGTTTGATTTAAATCAAATATCAATTTGGTTGCTCTTCAAAAGGTTGAAATATACCAATTGCATTTTTCAAAGTCTAAAGGTCTATGTTTCTTTTAAAAATGGAATGAGATGCAAGAGACTGAAAGAGAATTTTGAAGAATTGTTTCATTAAATAGGACAAACTGTATCTAGTAAGAGTTCACTATCATTTCAAAAAGGCCTTATTGAATTTAGTTGTTAGATTAAATTTTATTTTCAAAGTGCTCATATTGTAAATATGTAGAGTTGAATAATAAGTATTGTAGTGTTGGGCTTTTCTTGTTTGTTCATTTCTTGAAATTCCCTTTTTTTTCCCCTTGGTGAATATCAGTTGCTAATTGATAGTATTTTTTAAAGCCACTTTTCATTCCTAATTTCTTCTGCAAATTCTTCTATTATGTCTTATCATGCGAATATAGAGAAAATGTTTTTAAGTGAGCCTATTTTTAAGACATTTTCTTGTTGGGATCTTTCAAAAAGTAAAATATTCCAAAATATATCTCCTTTAGGTACTGATGCCCCAATGTTTTGTATAATAGTTCCTCAAAGAAGCTCTTTTTCTCTACAATACCAAACTCATGCTTCAAAATAATAGATTTGGGGGGTGCAAGTGTTTTTCTGTTATATGGATGAACTGCATAGTGGAGAAGTCTAGGTTTTTAATGCACCTGTCACCTCAGTAGTGTACGTTGTACCTAATAGGTACTTTTTCATCCTGTGCCCGCCTCCCTCCCTCTCCCTTCTGCGTCTCCAGTGTCCATTAAGTCACTCTGTGTGACTATGCACGCCCACCAACTTGCAGCGTTTGGTTTCTCTCTCGTTCCTCCCCAGCTATCTTGAATCTCCATATCCACCACTACCAAGTAGTCGAGGCACCTTTGATGCTTTTCCCAACTAATGAAATAACATCCTCTCTGCTCTCCCAGCTTCCCTCTTCCTTAATCTATTCTCTAAACTGCCTCCAAGCATGATATTTTAAAAAACACATATCTGATGTTGTCAGTCTCCAGCATAACGGCCTTTCAATGATTTCCCATTGCTTTTAGAAAAACACTAAAATGTTTTTTAAAAAATTCTTTTTGTCGACACATTACAGTTGTGTATATATTGGGGACACGTGATATTTTGGTAACTATACACAATCTGTAATGATCAAATCAGGGTAACTGGGATATCCATTACCTCCAACGTTTACTTTTTCTTTATGTTGGGAATATTACAATTTTTCTCCTCCAGCTGTTTTGAAATATACAATAAACTGTTGTGAACGATAATTTCCCTACTGTGATATCAAATACTAGAACTTATTCCTTCTGTCTAACTGTAGAGTTATACCCCTTAACCAGCTTCTCTTCATCCCCTCTCCCCTTCCCTTCCGGCCTCTGATAACCATCATTCTTATCTCTACCTGCAAGAGATCTACCTTTTTAGCTCCCATATATGAGTGAGAACATACAATATTTGTAAGACCAAAATCTTTATCACAGCCTCTAAGATCTGCCCTATACCTACTTCTGAGCATCATCGAACATGAGAATGCCTTGACCTTGTGCCTCCAGTGTTTTTGGCTTCCTTCACTTCCTGTGAACCACTCTATTCTCTCCGCCCCGGGGCCTTTGCACGCACATGTAAGTTAACCTGGTCTTCTAGATTCCTGTTTCCTGAAGTGCCATTTCTTCAGACCTCAACTCGGGTGTCAAGTGGCTCAAGGAAGTCCTCAGGTGGGATTTTCTGACGTCCTTAGATTAGATCCAGTATTTCTTTTAAATGCTTTATACTGTCCCCACACTTCCTCCCCATAGTACTTACTACAGCTTATGAGCACGCAGTTTATAATCATATAGTCATTATTACTTGATTAATGTGCGTTTCCTCCATAAAGGCAAAAACAGGTCTGTTCCATTCACTAATTTTCCTAGGACCTATCACAGAATTATCGTACAAATCCCTTTTAGAACCACATAAAAACTGTGGACCCTCTCACCAGAACAAATGGAAATATAGACACATCCACAGCATTTTCCCTGAGTTTCAGGAAGTTGGTACCCTGACCCTCTAGCCTTTATCTGTTGAGCCTAGTTTTAAAACTGCTGCCTTGAAGATTAATAATAATAAAATAGTTGATTAATTCACCTGTGTAATTTTTAAATAATGGATCCTTTTGCCAGACAAAAGTTTATGCTATAAATTTAGCTTGATATTTTAAAAACATCTGTTTCTTTTACAAATAAGGGAGAAAATTTTTCTTTATTCTCCCATTCATTAGTTAATATGAGCAAAAGCCAACATTCTATTCTTCTTACTATTGGTTTACCAAATAAATGTGTACTTTAAGTATGGACTGAATAGAGAATGGGAATACCTTAGGTAAAATCTGAGCTTGGAAAACAGAAAGTCAGTACATTGCTAGGAAGCAAAATACATAAATTTAGTCTTCAGTTAACCATTAGTGTTATTTCCTGCATTGGTCTAAATAGATGTCATAGTTAGCTAATTGGTATCAAAGTGGAAGTATTTATTCAAGGCTAGGTCTGTATGCACAGCAGCATACAAACCATCTGTCAAGAGGGAGGCTTTAGAGGGCTTTAGGCTTTACAAATTGTAAGGCTTCAGGGCTAAGAAGAGCATTTAGTGCTAAATTTAAGTTGCGTGTAGGTGAAATAAGTTGGCCTTCTATCCTCAGTACTTAGACATAAAATATGATACTTTTTTAATAAGAAAATTAAGTCTGTTTTAGATCATATGGAGTCATTTCTCACTGTATTTCATCTGTTTCACCTCCAGGCTTTGCAGAATTTAGGATTACCCTCATAATAGAATGATGTTGATATTAGTTTCATCAGCTTCATCCCAATCATCTGCTTATATGAAAACTCGGCATTTACAGACCTAAAGTCCGTCTGGTCTTTTGTCATTGTTTTATGTGTATTTTCACTTTTGTTTGGATCCTTTTTGATAGGCTTGGTACTTCCAGTAATCACAATACTTACTAATTCTG